ATCAATTAAGATTTTATTGAGAGCACTATCGCTGTTTTACCTTCTCTTCGAGCTCCTGATATTCCGGTCAAGATCACTCCTCATATATCCCATAAGCGGGGATGATACCGCTGTACGCCTAACCAACTAGAGCTAGCCTAAGCTCTACCGAATGTGAGTGTATCTATCATATTTTATATATTTTTTATTAGTGTAGAATATACTGCACCATTACTGTCTTCATTTTATCTTTCCCAACTCCGGCCACCCGTTACTACAAAGAAGAGGACACCTGCCGAATATCCTGTAAGCGGGGATAATACCGCTGCAAGCTATCCACACCAGAGCTGGATTAAGCTCTGTAAATTGTAAGTAAGACCTCTTCTATTTTTACATATTTGGACCACTCTCCATGACACCGATACCTTCTGAATACCACCAAAAGTAGAACTTTGGACACAAAAATATATATTCTATTGGACTCAACACTCAGTGTACACATCGGCGCAGACCCATCCCCCCATCTTTCTTGTTCCTACCATTTGATTTCCAAGGACACTAGAGGGAGTCCTTGTTTGGGACTGCTGCCTCTCTGACTAGCGCTGACTCTACCCCCCGTTCTATATATACACACACGTGTGTAATTTTACTCTGTGTATTTTTATATTAATATATGTATATATTAATACAAAAATACACTTAGTATGATGTTATATATAAGATATAAATATACATATTATAGATATAAGTGTATATATATATATATATATATATATATATATATATCTCATATACACATATAGATATATTTTTTTTTATTTTGAACTTTATTCACCAGCAGGGGGACTGCCTGTCCGTTCAGGCAGTCCCCCTGCTGGCAGCACTATGGACACCAATTGCAGACATGTAACCGCTCTTTTAGGGTGGTCACATGGCCCCTGGGGTCCTAATTTGCAGAAAGGGGACTGCCTGGGCTAGTCCCATTTTAGAAGAAGATTGTTCGCCGGCAGGGGAACAGCGGCGATCGGTAAGTACATGAGGGAGGGAGGGTGGGTAGTGGTTCATTTTTTAAATATAATCATTTTTTTAAATTAAAATCTTTACTGAGTGCCTCGACCCCTCGAGGCACTCAGATCAGGCAGAGCTTACGATGCTCTGCACTACACTGCTGGGCACCACCCGGAAGTGATCGGGGGAGTAAGGAGAGGTATTGCACGATGCAACCTGATACGTCCGAGGTCGGGAAATGGTTAACCACACACAGTAGGCTCCTGTGAGGTCTAGCAATCTGTAACGGAACCGCTGGCACCCTGACCGGGTACCTTCCGCCGACGGATGCTCCTAGTGCTTTCCGAGGACTCCAAGCACTCTGCCTAACACCATAACCACTTCAGACCCCACGAACCACCGCAGCTTGGTTGGGATCTCGCCGTCTCCACCCACTCTGGACCCAGGACCAGGGTCCAGCTTCCAGCAGGTCGACCTCTCTCTGAATTCCAGAGAGCAGGAACAGGAACAAGCTCTTAGCAGAGCTTAGTGATTATACCCTGGGGAGTATAGTGATTATAGCAATCCCCAGAGTGTAGTTTCTCCAATCCCCCAAACATGAGCCGAAACTTCATGAAGGTACAAGATGATCTGACTCCAATGAGCGTTTATTACTCCTTATATACAAGTTTTCAGGTCAGAGGCACACCCCCTGGACCTGGTGGTAAACTGTGACAAAAGGGACACAAACCAATGGGAACACTAATTAACATGATAACACTCTCACATACACAATGAAATCCCTCCTCTCCATCCTGGAGATAATTGGCTTAAGGCACTGCAGTAAACTCAATTATCTCCAGGTACAGAAAATATCTACATTTAACACTAACAGCAAAATACATAAAAGTACATAAAAATACACAATTCTTATTTTATTAAACAGAACCCCATGAACAGAGTAGATTTTCCACGGGGTAAAGCATAGCAAGGGCTGTTGAGAAACCAAGGAGGGACAAAAGCAGTCAGTTCCAACTGGTTTGGTAGTGTGCCTGGGACAACGCCCTGCTGGAGAACAATAGACAGGAAACGGGGGAGGGGAAGAAACACACCTTCCCATGGATTCAAATGGGAAGAAACTGTCTTTAGAAGCCAATAAGCCCCAAATAGTCTTTTTAAATGGCAATACACCCCAGGGCCATAGTCATGAGGAAGGAGGCTGGCAATCAGGCAAAGGGCAGCTTGTCACCTAACAATCGAGGGACAAAAGGCATTTCGTCACACAATCTATTACCAGTGCTGGAGATAAGACATTCTAAATTAAACATAATTTGCAATAAAGGAAGTGTAAACATTAGAGGACTCTTTATAGGAAGTGTTTAGGAAGGCTGTGTAAGTCAAATGCAGGGATGTGTGACTAAGGCTGCATAAAGTGATTTAACTCCTAAATGGCAGAGAATTGAGCAGTGAGACTGCAGGGACATGATATAAACAGCAAAACCATTTCTTTAAATCAAATTATTTTGGGTGACTTTAATATCCCTTTAACATGACTCTAGCGGCTGACAGATTTCCGCAGCTAAACTCTGCAGTTAAACTCTCATTGAGAGCATTTGTTAGGCTCAGCATTTTGAACTGCATGCACACTAGCCTTCCAATGCTTCCCTACAGGAAGCACTGGATTGCGTGATATTATCTAGACTGATGCTCTCAGCCAGGGAGTTGCCAACATGGAGGATGTAAGATAAGTAAAAACTACTTGTTAAACTAGTGTAAGCGTGTGATGACACCAACATAGGTAAGAGAGCACTAAATATATTCCTAACGCTTTAATGTTCCTTTAATAGTAGCAGTGGATCATTATAGTATTTATTTGGCCTTTCAGAAGCATTCTGAAGGTAAATAAGACATTATATAATAATATTAACCGTCTGTGTCTTAAAACCCCATATAGTGTGTAGCACTCTGGTACATCCACCAATATACATTACAAAATAAAATCTTATAATATGGAAGGAAGGACAAAGAATACTGCGGATAGTAAAGCAACATTAAAAATGTCAAAATATTTATTAAAACTTTCACATAAAATGTTAACAATTTACTCTCACATTTTTACAATTGTTACCAGCATATCATTGTTACAGTCCCCACTAACTTCCAGGTTGTTGTTCCTCGGATTTGGTGTTTAGGTGGATCGTGTGTAGTGCAATGTTTGTGTTACTCTGCTTTGCCGGTTCGCTGCAGTCTCGAAAGTCTTTGCTAGATTTCTATTTGTCTCTTTTCATTCCAATTCGGCCGAACTCATTACGCATCTTTTTCTCTCGCTCTTCCAACTTTATTTAGAGAGACAATCACCAAAAATTGTCTACCAACTTTATTTAGAGTCACTAATGAAAATCCTGAATAATTCAGTTAAGGTTAATCATATTACTTACAACACATCAAATAAGTTTCTGTAGAAACCCTACAGAATGCGGGTATGATTCAATCTGTATACTTGTTTTATTCAATTTAACCCTGATCAGGAAGACTATCAGACCATCAGGGTGGAGGGCACCACCCTACGGCCCTCACTGCATCATGCATGTGCTGGCTTTTAAAAGGAGAGATCATTTAACACTACTATAGCTATTGTTAAAGCCATGTTCGTGATGAAACACAATTGGCTAAATTGGAAGCATATTTGTAACGAAAAGAGACCAATAGAAATCCAGCAAAGACTTTTGAGACTGGAGCGAACCGGCAAAGCAGAGTAACACAAATATTGCACTACACACTAATCACCTAAATGCCGAATCCAGGGAACAGCAGAGATACCTGGAGATCATTGGTAACTGTACCAATGACATGATGATTGTGAAAATGAGCCAAATTTTAACATTTTATGTGATTGATTTAATAAATATTGTGACGTTTTTAACGTTACTACGCTATCAGCAGTACTTTGTCCTTCCCTCCATATTGTTCCAGTTTATTTTGTAGTGCATATTGGTGGATCTACAAGAGACTATTCTGCACACTATATAGTGTTTTAAGATACAGACTGTTAAGATTTCTATTCACAGAGAAAGGTCATTTGTGTTTAGTTAGAGCACAGTCCCTACAGTATTTCACTTACCTGTATATTTAGTAGGTTTAAGACTCTCTATCCTAGATATAGGACAGCAGCCCCTAGTGGACATCTGTTTGTATAGCAGTACCACTAGTTTTCCCCTTTTGTTTTTCCTCTCTTCCAACTTTATTCAGAGACACGATAACCATTTTATTTTCTTTCTCTCTTCCAACTTTATTCAGGGACATTTAACATATGTTGAAGTTTGGTTTTTGCACTCCCACCTTTTTTTCTCTTCTATCAACATATATTATTTATACATCGCTTTTTTTGTTTGTTTGTTTTTTAAGAACAAAAAGGGCTTTAAGTTGATGTGACATGTACAATTATAAATTCTCATTTATTAACTCCTTTTAGGACATAGCTTCAGAAGTAAGAGTCCTTAAGGAGTTAAAAGAAAATACAACAACAAAATGAAAACCACCATTCCCTCTCACAAACATTTCTTCACAGTTTTGGCAATTATAATGTGTACATAATTAGTGCAGCTTAACAAAAGTAATTTCAAATAAATTCATTTAGCTGTCCTGATTTACAGAGTATGTGTCGGGAATACAGTTTAGTGGACAGAGCCCAAGATGCAGATATAGATGCTGAAGGCAAAGAACCAAGTTCGCAGTACCAAAAGGATCAGAAGAAGAGAATAGTGGGGGAAGTCAAAGGTCTGGATAGGTGGCACAGGTTCAGATGCGATGATACAGGCAAGGGTCAAAATCAGGGATAGGATCAAGAGCACAGTACAACAGAGTGAAGGGTCTGTGCGACTTAAATAGGGGAAGTTGGTGGTCTTGTTAATTGAAGTTCCACCCTGGTCTCCACTTCCTGTACCTTTAAAAGGCTCTGTGTCGGCGCACATGTGCCCTTTGATTATACTGAAGTTCTACCTTCTGTGTGGTCGCACGTGGAAACAGCAGCGTTCTCACGAACAGACTTCTGTTCTTGCTGTGTTTGGGAGCCGGTGTCCGCACAAACGGAGTTTTGTCTGCAGTATAGGTGAGTAGCGTTCACATGAACAGAGGTGGCGTTCGTATGTATGAAGTTCTTCCTTCTGTATCAGGTAAGTGGCGTTCGTGCGAACAGGGCTGCTGTTCGCATGAACGTGAGTGGTTGGCGTGAGTGATTGAACCGACTGCTCTGCCTGTGGGGTCGTGCTCTGACACGGCCTCCTCGTGGAGTGAGTGAGAGACGCGGCGTGGGAGCGCGAGGTAGGTGAGTGAGGGGACAAGGACCTGATAGTCAGGGATTCCATGCAACCTGAAGACATGGTCATGAAAAAAAGTAGCTGTCTTTTTGGCAATGGGGAGACCTTTTACTGGGATGAAATGGGTCATCTTGGTCAGATGATCAACAGTAACCATCATGGTGTTATATCCATAGGATTCAGGAAGATCAACTATGAGGTTAATGGTAAGTCTGGAAGGGACTGGTAGAGGTTGTAATAGACCTGATGCTTTTTTGGTTAGTGCCTTTGCTCTGACACAGGTGGTACAGATACTCATGTAGTCTATTAGGTCTTGTTTAAGGGTAGGCCACCAGAAATATTGTTGGATGGCAAGTATGGTCTTTTGTTGTCCGCTATGACCAGATATTGGAGTGTCATCGAAATGTTGCAATGCGCGCACGAAAGGGCTCATCAACATAACTCTTTCCATGCGACATTAGAAACCCTTCTGGAGTCCGAGTAGTGGTAATGGCAGTGACCTTAATGTCTTTCACAAGAGTGGCCATGATACCCAGAAAATGTTGAGGGTTTAATATCGTTTCTTCTTTCTTGGATCGTGTTTCATCTGGGGCAAACATTCTTGAAAGGGCATCTGCCTTTTGATTCTTTGATCCTGGCCAGTAGGTCACATGAAAAGAAAACCTGGAGAAAAAATGTCCAGCGAGCTTGTCGCAGATTGAGCCGTTTGGCAGAACGAAGATATTCCAGGTTCTTGTGGTCCGTTATAGGCTGAGTGGTACCCTCTAGAAGAGGTCTCCATTCTTCCAGGGCCCGTTTTATAGCTAGTAGCTCTTTGTCACCAACATCATAGTTAGATTCGGCCTCCTTGGTCAGCCTCTTAGAGTAGAAGGCGACATGATGTAGGGGGTCTGTCTCTTCATCCCTTTGGGACAGGATTGCACCAGTGGCTGTATTCGAATCGTTTACTTTGAGGAAGAAGGATATATGCTGTTTGGGTATACGTAGTATAGGATCAGTAGTGAACATGCGTTTCATTTTATCGACGGCAATCTGTGCCTGGTGAGTCCAATGCCATTTAACCTCCTTTTTGGTGAGGTGTGTGTGAGTAGTTGCCCGACATGAGAAAAGTTACGTATGAAACGTCTGTAGAAATTGGCGAACCCTACAAACCGTTGCACCTGTTTTTTGGTTTGAGGTTTTGGCAATTGTTGTATTGACTGGATCTTGCGTGTATCCATATCTACTTTGATAGGTCAGATTATGAACCCCAGAAACTCCACACGTTTCAAAAATGCATTTTTCAATTTTTGCATATAACTTGTCTGAGACGTTTCCAAGTGTTTCCAAGACATGGTAACGATCTATGGGTAGGTCGGATGAAAAGATCAAGACGTCATCTAGGTAAATCACGTCATACTGGTCCAGGAGATCTCTAAAGAGGTCATGAAAAAAAATGTTGGAACGAGGCAGGGGCATTGCAGAGGCCATATGGCATTGCTGTATATTCATAGTGTTCGTATCGGGACTGGAAAACTGTTTTCCATTCGTCTCCTTCTCTGAAACGAAAGAGATTATAGGCACCCCTTAGGTCCAGTTTGGTCTAGACAGAGGCAGTTTGCAGTCTCTCAATTGGCTAACGAATAAGAGGGAGTGGATATTTGTTTTTGACTGTGACAAACTCCCCTTTTTAAGGGAGTTTGCCATGAGTTTTTGGAGGGGCCTGCTTGCCAGCATCCTACCCTGGGACTATAGGCCCTGTGAAAACCCATGCTCAAAAGTACTGTTTCTGCCCCTGTGGACATTTAACTGGAACAGATTCAAATATGCGGTGGCCATCTTAAATTGTCCAGAAGTGTTTAGTTGTCGAGTGTATGGAACGGTTTTGGGCATGGGACCACGTGCATGGTGGGGCAAAAATAAGACTTCCAGGAAATTCCTGAACCCCTGAACCGATCTGGGTGATTTTTGGATATGTTGTTAACCCAGATTGGGTGTGACTTTTGTGGGGATATGTTGTATTGTGGGGTACCTTTTGGGGTTTGTAAAAATGTATGTTTTTTTCTGCTTAGAGTTAACCGAGTTAGTCCATTGTCTGTTAATTGTATCACAGGCAGAGAGGAGGGATTGTGTACACTGTATGGGAGTGTCTGAATGAAAACCTCTGTTTTTATTGGTTTGTATGTTTTGTATTCGGTGCTCAACTAGGTCCACCTGGGCGTCACCTTTGCTGTAAAACTTGTATAAAAGACCAGTGTGTGCCATTAAACTTGCTGTTCCTGCTTACACTCCAAAACTGTGTGTCTTCCTGTTATTGGAGGGAAAGAAGATTTGCTCAGGTGTCTGCTGTTCCAGCTTGCAGGAGATTCAACGGGGAAAGTCCTTGTAAGGACTAGAGCTAATTTCCCATTCGGTTCCAGAGTTCCCAGGATTGAGTTTTGTCCAGTGCCTGGAGGTGTCAGAGCTAACTCCCCATTCGGCTCCAGGAAGGAGCAGATCCAGGGCCCCAGTCAAGCTACGGTGACATAGGGCAAGAGGTGCTGCGGTTTGTCCCTGTGGAGGAACCAACCTCGCCACTGGAGGAGCCTGGTTGCCCACCTCTTGCTGCTGGACTATGGCCCTGCATTAAAAACCTTTTATTTTCTCTATGTGAGCAGTGTTACCCCAGATAGCTAAACCATGGAGCCCATTCGTATACCAAAAGACTTTGGCTCCATGGCAATTGAACTGTATGTATGTATGTGATCTGAGCGCCATCGGGTAGTAATGGGCACTCAGATCTAAGCTATCTGGGGCTAGGTAGAATGAGTATGTTCTATGTGATGAATGTAACAGTACGTATTTTTATGTCTTTTATTGTCCTTTGTCGGCCATGTGGTTAATGGAGTTTTGCCTCTGTCCTTGGAGATAATTGGATTACTTCCCAATTTTCTCCAGGCCAGAGAGGAGGGATTGTGATGCATTGTGGGATGGTAAGCTTGTGATTGGTCAATGTCCAATATGTTTCCCAGTCTTCCATCTGGTCCTCTGGGGGAGTGTCCACCAGGTGCATAAAAGCCGGGCAGGTAGCCTCAGTAAATCAGTTCTGCTTGACCCTCAAACAAAGTGTCGTCTCGTTCTTGGGGGGAATTGGATTGTGTGCTGTTACAGTGAGACTGCCAGGAGTGTAAACTGTTCTTATGGTTTTCCTGTTCGGCTGTTTACAGCATTCGTGTGCTTCCTGTTCGGGAGTTTGGAGCATTCCCCTGGTTCCAGTTCAGGAGATTGGTGAATTCATGTGTTTGCAGTTCGGGATATTGGTGATTGCAGTAGCTGTCTGTGCATCTGAAAAAGGGGAATATCGCCTAAACGTTTTTAACCTCGTGTGTAAAACGGTCCATTACAATTGGTGGCAAGCGGCGGGATCATTCCCACAGCCCAGAAGGACAGCTACAAGGTAACACCCGTCCCTGGATTTACAAATTGAGGGTAACGCTAGTATCCGTACAGCGCCCCTATCTACAAAGGAACTCGGAAAATGGAGACATTTCAAGATAGATTGTACTGTTACGTATCCCTGGGGTCTGAGGAGGACATGTTGCATTGCAGAGAGATTGCCAGAGCCAGGCTGTGGGACGAAGCCCTAGAGAAAGTACAGTATTGGGGAGGGGATCGGCGCTGCAGAGAAGGCAGCGAATCCTGGCTCGAATGGCAGAGCGGATGCCCCTCCTGAGAAAACAGACCGAAGAAGCGTGGGTGACTAGACTCGAGATTCTAGTATATGCAGAACAGGTGTTCGACGACGCATACCAGGCGATACAGTGGTACGCAGCTCAGTGTGTCCCCAAGATAGCAGAGTATGAGTTCCCAGAGGGCGGAGATAACGCTGGCCCTGGCCTATTTTGGGATAATATTGACGATGAGGACTTTGGAAAAGCTACCGGCTCTCGTTTTTGGGACCTGTGTTACGACCGAGAAGACATGCTGGGTCTATCTAGCGCTGTTGATCTCGAGGCAGACCTACAGTATCTGGTCGCCAAGGAATGTGACCTGGAGTGGGATTACCTGCGACTCATCAATGAGGCCCGGGAAGAGACAACCGATCCTCTTCCCCAACAGCAACCCGAGGCAGCGGACCTCCTAGACTGGTCCTGCGAGGATCCCCAGCGGCAGTATGTATCCCAGGGAGCTGAAGGTGCCATCCTTCCTCCCCAGCGGCAGTGTGTCCCCTTAGGAGAGGAGACAGTTGGTCCCTCTCCCCGGCAGTCAAGGGAATTACAGGGAGACAAAGGTGCCGTACTTCCTCCCCAGCGGTAGTGTGTATTACAGGGAGCTGAAGGTGTCATCCTTCCTCCCCAGCAGTTAAGGGAGTCCCAGGGAGCTGAAGGTGCTGTCCTTCCTACCAAGCGGCAGTGTGTGTTACAGGGAGCTGAAGGTGTCATCCTTCCTCCCCAGCAGTCAAGGGAATTACAGGGAGACAAAGGTGCCGTCCTTCCTCCCCAGTGGCAGTGTGTGTTACAGGGAGCTGAAGGTGTCGTCCTTCCTCCCCAGCAGTCAAGGGAATTACAGGGGGACAAAGGTGCCGTCCTTCCTCCCCAGCCGCAGTGTGTGTTACAGTCCCCTGTTCCTGCTACTCTCTCTGGACTAGGAGAGGTCTACCCACTGCAAGCTGGATCCTGGTCTTGTGTCCAGGGTGGGTGGAGGACGGCGAGACCCCAACCAAGCTGCGGCGGTTTGTGGGGTCTATGGTGGTTATGGTGTTCCAGTGCAGTGATTATGGTACTCGCAAGTACTAGGAAGCAGCAATAGACGGAGGTACCCGGTCGGGGTGCCTGGTGGTCCGTAACAGACTGTGATCTTATTCAGCTCCCTGTAGTCCACACAGGGACTTAGGCTACCATCCTTTCTCCCCACAAAAAAGATTCCAGCCCCTGCTGGAAAAGTAGAAGGTCGGATAAATCCTTTTGCCAAATTTTCATTGATGTATTCTTTGAGAACAAGAAGTTATTTTTTCGCCAAGGTGTATATTCTACCAAACGGCATGGGGGCTCCAGGTAACAGGTCTGTGAGGCAATTATATTTCCTTTGTGGTGGTAAAGAATCAACCCGAAATCCAGAGGTCAGTTTTACCAGAATACAGGGAAGTCAAAAACAAAGCCAAAGTCAAGAACCGATATCACTAGAATAAGGAATGCGCTCTCGGACAACCACTAGGGAAACCACGACAGGGCAATGATTGGCCGTGATCGCTTTTGACCCCAAAACGTATGCACACAGTGCAAATTTCATGCTAGGGACTTTAAGCCTGACATTGCACAAAGATAACCAAACCCTCTCACCCATCTGGTAAACAGGGTTGGCACCTCGCCGTTTATCAGCATAATGCTTAAAACGGTCAGCAGCAGTCCCCAGTGCGGAGTGAACCTTTACCCAGGTATCACAAATAGAGGCAAGACAGTCATCTAAAGCAGGAATAGCTGTGTCAGAAAAGACAGCCGGGAGGACAGTAGGGTACCGGCCATTATTAACAAAAAATTGGCTATTTCAGCTGCACTCCCACATTACCAACGCGGACTGACATGACAGGATGAGAGTGCTGGGCCTGGTTGGCCATCAGAGATATTGGTAAAATTGCGCAGAGCAGCCCCATATCCAACTGTTCCTAAACAGATATTAATCAATTCATTTGAAACTTACCAGGAAAGGTTAAAGGATCTTAACATGTATAGCTTGGAGGAAAGACGAGACAGGGGGGATATGATAGAAACATTTAAATACATAAAGGGAATCAACACAGTAAAGGAGGAGACTATATTTAAAAGAAGAAAAACTACCACAACAAGAGGACATAGTCTTAAATTAGAGGGACAAAGGTTTAAAAATAATATCAGGAAGTATTACTTTACTGAGAGGGTAGTGGATGCATGGAATAGCCTTCCAGCTGAAGTGGTAGAGGTTAACACAGTAAAGGAGTTTAAGCATGCGTGGGATAGGCATAAGGCTATCCTAACTATAAGATAAGGCCAGGGACTAATGAAAGTATTTAGAAAATTGGGCAGACTAGATGGGCCGAATGGTTCTTATCTGCCGTCACATTCTATGTTTCTATGTTGACAGGATTTATAATAATCGCTTACTTTAGTTCCCGCGCCACAGCCAGCCCCGCCCTTCTCGTGATGTCACTGTGGGCGTGGCCTAGGAGCTGCCGCTAGGCATGCAGGGAATTGTAGTTTCGATTAAACGTTTGATCCAATAATGGCGAGATTTCAGGTTTATATTGAACTGATCTCTCTGTTACAAACTGAACCATCGTCTCCAACTGCTAATATGAGCTGCATACCGGGAGATGTATCGCTGGGTGTACCAAGATGGCCGCCGCCGGGGCTGAGACTGAGGGGAGAGCAGCAACATGGCCGAAACTACATTCTGCCAACTGTGATTGGTGGAGCGAGGACGGCTCAGCGCGCCCCCTGATTGGTGGAGCCAGGATGCCGGAACACGCCCCCTGATTGGAGGAGCCAGGATGCCGGCTAATGATTGGTTACCTGGCCCGGAACCCGCTGTCGTGGCGGAAGATGGCGGCGGCTGTGCTGGAGGTGGAGGTTGGAGCAGCCGGGGCCAGAGAGCCCGAGGAGGTAGGGAGACACTGAGTGCGAGTGAGAGACACTGAGTGCGAGTGAGAGACACTGAGTGCGAGTGAGAGGTGCGAGTGAGAGGCTCTGAGTGCGAGTGAGAGACACTGAGTGCGAGTGAGAGACACTGAGTGCGAGTGAGAGGTGCGAGTGAGAGACACTGAGTGCGAGTGAGAGGCTCTGAGTGCGAGTGAGAGACACTGAGTGCGAGTGAGAGGCTCTGAGTGCGAGTGAGAGGCTCTGAGTGCGAGTGAGAGGCTCTGAGTGCGAGTGAGAGGCTCTGAGTGCGAGTGAGAGACACTGAGTGCGAGTGAGAGACACTGAGTGCGAGTGAGAGGCACTGAGTGCGAGTGAGAGGCTCTGAGTGCGAGACACTGAGTGCGAGTGAGAGGCTCTGAGTGCGAGGGAGAGGCTCTGAGTGCGAGGGAGAGGCTCTGAGTGCGAGGGAGAGGCTCTGAGTGCGAGTGACAGCAACCTCAGGGGAATCTAACCGGCATCACAGAGACCTTCATACAGATACTGCTACAGTGTGTGACTGACATCCCCCCCACACACACTGACAGCCCCCCCCACAC